TAATACATTGTGTAATTGCTTGTAAGCACTATATTTACCCTCATTTATTATTCTGTTCAAATATAGTTATGGTTAAAATGATTAAATGTGATTATATAGGCACGTAAGTATGTGTATTTAAAAAATATTTCTTATTTTTAAAAACATTTTACCTTTTATTTTCATGTCTGAGAATAAAAAGAAAAAAAAAAGTAGGGATAATAACCTTAAAGGATCCTCTCCTGAAAACTCCTCTAAATATTGCAAAATAATCTATTTGTGAAGGGCAAGAAGGATATACACAATTTACACAATGTATGTGCGAAATGTTTTTTATTATTATTGTGTTTTCAATTTCCATTCAAATCCTAAGAAGACTGTCACTTTCTATTGTGGTAATTGTTATGTCATGTTTGCAATAAGTTTTGTAATTTTTATTGTTTGCGCATATAACAAAAAGTGAAAGAATTTCAAATGATGACAAATAATGAAATATAGTTCAATTTTTTTAACAAGATATTAATTGTACATATAAGGGTGAAAAATGAAAAGAAATATTGTTGGATAAAAGTAGAATTCGGCGTCTATCATATGAAAAACTTCGATATATTAAAATACTCTAGCATCATAGAAACTTGCTGTGTTTGGAAACAAATTTTGAATGAATTTTCGTACAACTATATTAGTTTATAAATTTTAGGCTTTAAAAAATCCGTTAGAATCGATCATAAAGAAAGTTAACGAATAAAAATTGTAGACATGTTCGCAATCTTTTTCAACAATATAGATTGCATTACGACATTTGCAGGGGGTTTTTATAAACATTCTAAGCCAAACTTTCTCAAACACTAGTATACGCAGTATCCATTTTAGGACGTTCACTGCAACACCAATATTCATGAAGGAGAGACAAGTAAGAGATCGAATGACATATCGAAGGATCCAACTCTAAAAAGCACGGTTTTTTCCTTGGACCTTTGCATACGTGAAAACATTCTCATAAGGAATGTGTTAAAAAAAACCACAGTGATAAAAACCACAGTAAAAAAACCACGGTGATTCGAGCACTTAATTCTTATTAAATCAAATCGAATTTGGAGTGGGAATGTCAACAGGCGCCAGTGGAACTTGTTAGGAGGAATAAAGTTTTTTAATCGTGTGTCTCAGCACATGTGCTGGTACATACGGTAATGAAAAGATGGGTGCTTAAGCAAAATATGAAACGCCGAATATTTTTATTGGGGCAGAGCCTCTCTGTGGACCGTCGAGGAGTCACAAAAAAGTTTGTAAGAAGGAGCGAAGCGGAAAGAGAGGAGTGTGTGGGGGGAAACAGCGGAAGCAAGTAGGTTTGGATCGGGTGTTGGAAAAAAGACAGGCAAAGTCCTTCCTTTCTTGTCCACCTTCCAGAAGAGCAAGGAAGACTTTCACCTCCTCATTGGGAGTAGCAGATTAGGTTATCGCTTGTATAAATTAAAATAGCCTATTAACCGTTTGTGTATAGATTTTAGCATGGTATCGGTTATTTGACTGAGCAGAATTCTCTGCTTTTGCGAGGCATTGGAAAGGAGGCGATTGACTTTCTAGAGTAGTGACACTTTCGGGCTTGTACGAGATAGCGCGCGCTTACTTGACTGTGTAACTACACAGGAATTATAAGCCTATAGAAAGCGCTCTATAAATGAGGTGTTACAATTAGTTCTTATGACTACACTGACTTGGTCTTAGGTCGACTCCTGCCAATCTGCAAATCTAATACATGCAGAAACCCGTTCATAAAATAAACGTTTCAACAATAGGAAACAAGCCAATAGGTCGATAAACACATAAAGCTATTTAAAAATCCAATTTTAAGATTTTAAATCCTTACACATATTGTGACAAATTAAATATTTCTCTTCTCAAAATCTCTTAGAAACTTTCTAAGTGATTGTATCAAATAAAAATCGTATCGTCTACTTTACATACTATGCATAGAATAATTGCATATTTAGCAGATTTAAAGCATAATATTTTTGCAAACGTACAGAATTTTTTAATAAAAAATTTATTCATTCTTAAAACTTATGGATAATGTGAATTAAAAAATAAAATCTTTGATTTTAGGCATTCACTCATTTTTTATCTACGTCAATATTCTTTTAAAATTTTGTATGATCTTAATTTTTATATCTATACAAAATACAATAAACAACAATTATAGCAATTTCAATTCATTAATTAAAATTCGCTACTTTATGGTACTTTACAATGTTAAAAACAAAAATAAAAAAAATCAATTGCAACTACAATGCATTTTTGTTCCTCTAATTTTTTTTTTAAACTAAAAAAAAAACACTTATTTACCGTATAAAATAATGAAATTGCGCTTAAACTTATGAATGCACGAGTTTGTATTGCATATATTCATATACTATACACACATGCATGTACATATGTACATATATACAAAAATATACCAATTTTTTTTCAAAGACATTTCATATAATTTACGCTGTTCAGGTGGAATTTGATACCCGTCTTTCATATATTTGTGTTATTATTTGTATATGCTTTAAATGATTGCAATAAAATTATAATAAAAAATAAAAAGTAAAAGAAATAAAAATATTAAAAAAATATTTTCTTATTATTATTTTCGAAAATGAAAAGTTGACATATTTTTAAAGTGTGGGAAAATTTTTTTGATGTTTCATTCAAAAATTGCAATAGGACAGAAAAACAAATGGCGAAATGATAGCGCAGGTATCAAAAATTTGAAAATAAAATTTAATTTACAAAAAAAATAAATTTTGAAGCCACGCGCAATTCAAATCAAAATACAAGTTAGAATAGTATTTAATTAATTATAATCAAAATATTTAGATTTGTTTAATATTTTTCAAGAATATTTTAAAACAAATAAAATATTATCCAATAATACGGTTGCTGGCACTTATTATGTGCCAAATGGGTTACTGAAATAATGGCATAAAGCGCACACATTATAGATTTTTCAAAATTAAATAATAAATGTAATATGATTCCATTATTTAGCTACATACAGATCAGTAGTATTACCAAACTAAAAGAGGGATATAAAAGATCTTATTACTTATGTAATAAATCGTTCCATTGATAATATCCTAAAATTAGGTTAAGTTCATGTTGGCACATCTTAAAACTTAAGTTTACTTCTGTTAGCGGTATTCTACAGTAGAAAATTAAAAAACTGAAGGGAATCAGCTTTACTTCTAAAAACAGTTCTAAGTAAGATATGCCAACATGAATTCAACCTTATTCATTAATTTTGACAATAATCGCAAATAAAAGAAATTACCTATAAATCAATTCATTAAAAAAAGAGATAAATCACACTCTAGAGGCGATAAATGAAAAATTTAATAAAATTTCTTAAACAATAAAATTTTATAAGGCAAAAATATCTCATCCGCTCTCTTGTGAAGAAGGAAAAATTGCTGCAAATATTGCTATATTTAATTGGAAAACAAATTTTTTGAGTTACACAATATTTCAATCAATTTTATTTTCAAAAGTTTGAACATCAAATTATTCTATTCTGTGAATATTTGAATCAAATTATTTTCAATCTGATATTTTCAAAACCTTATTCTCATGAGATACTTAATTATGCATACATATACGAATGTAGGGACATACACACATGTACTAGCTGACACCGATTTTACTATTAAACATACAATATCGAAAAAATTCACTTAAATCCTGTAATTACTTTAAGATAAGAAAAAAAATGTAATCTAATTGCTACGAATGTCCTTGCCGGATGCTTGAAATTGTTCTTTTTTTATATTATTTTTAAAAAAGTCCTTGAAAACTTTTTTTTTCTCCTTTTATGAGAAATAAATGTGCTCTTTCTATATACATTATATGCATATACACATAATTATAATAATAATAAAATTATTAATAAAAAAAAATCTATTTTCAAATAAGAAAATAAAAATGGCTACCAAAAATAAGGACACACCTTTCTATTTATAAAAACATTTGGGTGAAATTTTACCCAAACACGCAATAAAAAAGGATATCAAAGCAATAAAATAAATTCATAAGTGTGCACTAATACAATCAAACAAGTATTTTGAGTGGAATTTTGAGTTTTTGAGTGCTTTTATTAAATAATAATTATTGATAGAAATATTTAAATAATAATTATATAAAAATTAAAAATGATATTAAAATTTTAATTTCATTTTTCAGAAAGGCACTGTTTTTTCACTCAAATTGAGCGTTTTTTTCACAATATTTCAAAAACGCATTAACTCAATTTCTTTTTCTATATGCAAGTATGCATTTCAATATAAAATGTAAATAGAACTTTCATTGTAGTTGTAAAGTAAGGCGCTATAATGAGCTATGACTTGTGAATGTGTGATTGTCTGCACATGATCCTAAATAAATCTTACCGTTGCTATATAATATAATACTCAAAATTTTTATTATACATAAACATATATGCAGATATTTATATATATATATAGGTATTAATTTTTTAAAATAAACAAACAAACAAATTGGTCAAACAAAAAAAAAACAAAAAAAAACAACAAGAGAAAAAAAAGAACAGCAAGTACATTTTTTTTTTTTTTTGTTTTGTCAAGGTTTTTCTTCATAATTTTTTTTTTTTCGAATTTAGTTCTTATCGAATGTCCGTAAAGTTCTGATCGGATTTCAATTGAGTTTAGACAAAAGGAAATTTATTTATATGCATTAAAAAATCGCCGCCAGTAATGCACTAACATTTTTTTTTTATTAATAAAAAATTGAAATTTATTTAAAAAATAAACAAATTTGTATGGTCATAATTAAGTATTTTTGTGTTTTAATAAAACTGTGCAAAATTTTAATAAGAGTAATTAAAAAACAAAAAAGGAATATTTTTCGAATAATAAGTGTGAAGAATATTGTGCATATAATCATCGAAACTGTTATACATATAATTAAATTAAAAGCATTATTAATATTTAATTGAGTATTTAAAATTGAAATAAAGTGCTAAGTAAAAAATAAAATATTTTGCATAATTTAAATAAAAATTTAAAATCAAATAATTTATAAAATTAAGTTTAAAAAAAAATCATCAAAATTATTATCAATAAAATGGATACAACTTTATCACCTTCTATTGGAGGTGATTTAGATTCAACGAGTTCCGGTGGTACAGGATCGGATACAACATCAATAAATCAAGGAATATCACCGTATTCAACAGCTAATCAAACATTTATTTTAAATAATAATGGTAAAATAATAATTAATTTTTAATGAAATTTTTTAACTAATTCAAATTATACAAATTTAGTGTAACATACATAATTTGTAATTTAAATATTAAATATTAAAATTGTTATGGAATATGTGTTCTTTGCCTCCATAGGGATAATAGTTGAGAAATACTTTTAGTATACACGTATGTACTTACTTCACAAAGTGCAGACTTATTTCTTTTTTTAATAATGTCGCTCAAAAACCAACTCATCAGATTGATTTTATTGAAGTTATACAAAACGTGTTATAAAAATGCATATTCTGCATAGTAAACTGGTCAATATTCTGTATTGTTTGAGTCCGTAAGGACATACACTTACTTCGATAGGCGCTTTAGAAAAATTTTCGATTTAATGTGACACTGAATTCAAATTTTAAACACAATATGTTCCTAAACGCAAGAAAAAATTTAATATTAAGTAACTTATAATTTGCTTAAATATAATCAATGTACTATCAAGAGATGTGAACTCTGATACAAAGAATTTTTTCATGAAATTTTAAGAAAATATGAGCCTAATATGAATTTGATAACAATTTGATCTATAAGTTTATAATAAGCAATAAAAACCTACAGTAATCTAATATGAAATATTTAAGTAAAATCTCTTAAAAGAAACCTTTAAATTTCTATTATAAAGAATTAAGATTTTAAGGCTTTCATTTTTGTAAAGTTATAAAGCCTCTCTTCTATTCATAACTAAATCCGTGTTATAGTTCTCATAATAAATAACATACTGTTCATTTTCGAATCAACAAAAATTTTCATTTGTGTAAATGTATATTTACCGAAATGATTTTATTTAATATTAATTGTATTATAATTCAATTATGAAACCAAAATTATACAATTATATTTAAAATTTTTTTGCCAATCAGCTTTAATATTAAAAAGAAAAAACGCATTTTTTATTTTAAATTACGTATACAATTAAAAGTGACTCATTAATTAACGTGTTAACATTGAATTAATTTAAAAAATAAAAGAGTAAAAGATTTTTAAAATTTGGAATGATGAAAACATTGTGGATTTTTAGATCAGAAAAAAAAACTGTCTAATGAAATTCAATATTTTTAATTTTATTGAACTGAAGCATTATATTTCAAGTTTTAATTGAACACTTCTTTATTGTAGGTGTCTTAAAGAAAAATATTGAAAATCTATAATATTTAAAGTATTTTCATTTATTGTAATTTAATTATATAAATTATAAAAATTATTTAATTTGCAAAATTTTTTGGTTACAAGAAGAGAAATTGACTTATGATTCATTTTATGAAGAATGCGCTTTAACATAAAGTTTGAAAATAATTAAAAAAAAAGGTGTCAATTAACATGCATCTATAGAACACTGTCGTACATTTTTGAAATATTAGATTTTCAAGAGTAAAATGTGTAGTTTGTACTTCGAGAGTTTGCATAAGCAAAACAAATTTTTTAGAATATGAAATTCTTTCAAAAAAATAAAAAAATTAAATTGATATAAAATTTGTTTGACAAATGTTTGCTTGGCACATTCCATAGCTGCCTTTGTTGTACATTGTCAGTTTAGACCTTCGACCTAGGATTCAATACTTTTCTCTATATTTGTTTTCTAATTCTATTTTTTGCTTCTTGACGTGTTCCTTCAATCTATGGATTTGAAATTCAAAGTCATTCCTAGATATACTGTTCTATTTCGGAGGGTTACTCTAATATCACTCAAATTTAATTGTGGTTTACTAGTTTTTAGCTTGGGAAATTTACATGTACAGATTTACTTTCATTTAGCTTTATTTTCCATTTATTCGTCAATTTACTTGCATTATTACTTAATTGGTTCTTGTAATATTTATGTATATATTTGAACATTAGGTCCAACTGCCAATATAGCTTTATCGTCAACAAATGAAGCCACAGTTGCATCCCTTAACTGATCAGTTACAAGAGATTTCTGGTCTAGCTTAATTTGAAAAAATCTTTTAGTTAATATGATTCAAATAATCCCCACGAATTGTAAATGTATTAATCTCTTACATTGAAATAATAACAAATCTTCGTGACGAACTTCAAACGTCTGGGCCATGTCGAGAATTTAACCTGAAAATTTTGATATTTGTATATAAAGTACTTGCTTAAAATAGGTTTTAATCAGGAATTTTTCTTACAATCTATATACTTAGACCTTAGAACTAAAAAATATATGATTAATCACACAAATATACAAACACATATGATTTGTGAATTTTTAGAATCATTGGAAAGAATTAATAATATAAAAACATACTAACCAAAATCGGATCAATATCTCATCTACTGATAAATATAGTGATTATACTTTCAAATCCAGCTAAATTTATCCTACCTGTAATCAAATTAATTGTAAAATCTCAAACAATTTTGTATTTTGCTTTAAACCACTCCAATTCTGAGTTCTCTATTTGAAACAGCCTTTTAGTAAATACAAAATATTGCAGAACTTAATCAGAAAAAAACTATCAAAAAGTAAACATGCACTTTTAATTTGAAATTAATCCTACACCATATATGTACAAAAAATTAATAGGTGCTTTTTGTATAAACAAATCAAATAAAAAATATTAAAAATATATATTTTTTTTTTACATTTTCTTTTTACATTTTATTTCATTTCAGTTTATCGAGGAAATATTTCATGTAAAACATTATTTTTTTCTGAAAAACTTCAAACATTTTCGAATAATATTGAAAATAATAATGAATTCGAAAGAAAATTTAATAGTCAACATCATCAACATAACATAAACAATAACAATAATAATAACAATAACAATAACAACAATACTAGTAATAATAATAATAATCTACATAATCACCAACATCAGCATCAATCAAATGATATTAATGGAAATGATTTTGATAAATCAAGTCCAACATCATCATCAGATATTCATCAACATCATATTAATTATGTTGGTGATATTAAAAATGATATAAATGATAATAATAATCATAATCAAACAAATTTAAATGGAAATAATCAAAATAATAGTAATAATAATAATAATAACAATAATACATCAGTCATTAATAATAATCATATAAATAATAACTGTAAATCACCTGGTAGTATTATGCAAGAAATTACAAATAGAACAGCAAATAATCATCAATTTTTAAATAATTTACAAAACTCAACAATTAATTTTGATATCGGTAGAAAATGTTTAAATATGTTTAGTCCTGATCAGGTATGTAAAAACAATGTTATATAAATATGTAAATGGTAATTATAATATAAAAATCCAAATGAGTTCTAAAATTTTATTTAATTTCAGGTTCAATGCATGTGCGAAGCACTTCAACAGAAAGGTGATGTAGAAAAATTAGCTACATTTTTATGGAGTTTACCAAATAATGAATTATTAAGAACAAATGAAAGTATTTTAAGGTAAATATTAGTTTGCTAATATCAAAATAAACAAAAAATGTAACCGATCGCGCTTTTATGGCTTGTAAAATAGCACATTTCCTGTGAATAGTTTGAATTGAGTGTTTGTACTAGTATATAAAATCAGATATATAACATATTGGTCAGTTATATTGAAATATTTCTCTTTTTTTACTATATAAATTTGCATAAATTTAGGAGAATTTAGAACAAGAATTTTTATAGCCGGAATTGCATTGCTGTTACAACATATGCAGTTGATATAGTTAACGCATATTGCTTTTATGGCAATACAATTCCATAAAAGAGATTATTGTTATATTTTACTTTAATAAAAGTTTAATAGAGCTTATAGTGTCAAATAAAGAGTTGACCGAAAATTGACAGCTTACAAAATTTGAGCGATAGGAGGGGGGACAAGATATAAATTGTTTTTACATAATAAAATGTTTATCAATATTTCTATAGAGTTTTATCAGCGTTACCGTATAAGGGAAAATTTTCTTTAAAAATGTATCAAAAACCGACCATATATAACAAATAAATCAAGTCAATTCTGAGACTTGAAATTATATATGTAGAATGTAGAGCAATGTATAGCTTAAAAACAAATAAAACAAACAGCCGATAGACGAACGGACAGGCAAAGTTTTAATGAGCACATTTTTTTTTTTTCAATTTTTATTTGAAATATACCGAATATTGTTTATTTTGTTTTGATAACTCTATACTCTTAAATAATATTTTTTTTTTTCTAAATTAAATTTACAGAGCTCGTGCTATAGTTGCTTATCATCGTGGTTTATTTCATGAACTTTACAATTTATTAGAATCACATACATTTTCAATGAAATATCATACAGAATTACAAAATCTATGGTTTAAAGCACATTATAAAGAAGCAGAAAAAGTTCGTGGTAGACCATTAGGTGCTGTTGATAAATATAGATTAAGAAAAAAATATCCATTACCGAAAACAATATGGGATGGTGAAGAAACAGTTTATTGTTTTAAAGAAAGAAGTCGAAATGCTTTAAAAGATTGTTATACAACAAATCGATATCCGACACCAGATGAAAAGAAAACATTAGCAAAAAAAACTGGTTTAACATTAACACAAGTATCGAATTGGTTTAAGAATCGACGACAAAGAGATCGAACACCACAACAGAGACCGTAAGTTCATAAAAATGAAAAAAAATTATACAAAATAAAATTTTAATTACTTATTCCATAAAAATTAGAAATTTTAAAACAGAAATAACAAAAAAATTTCTTGTACGCAATGCGGCTATTTTCTTTTTTTTTTTTAATTTTGCCAAATCCTTACTTATCCATAATTTTTATTTCTTCATTTTTTCAGTAGTGGCCCATGCAATTTTTAATGTTTAGGAACAAAACGTGACTTTTTTAACATTTTTTTTACAGTAAAAAAAATCAACTTGTTCTTTTCTTAATTTTTTCTTATTTTTTACTTAAGAACTACCAATTGTAAATTTTTTATGAAATTTTTTTGTTTTTTTTTACAAAAATCATAAAATTTATTGAGTAACATTGGGTTGACCGAAACGCAACTATTTTTGGACAACAAGCATGAATAAAACATTTAAATTATTTTCTAAGAAAATTAAATGGTCCAGAACATATTGTTTGGGAAACGAAAAATAAAATCTCATAAATCCATTCGAAATAAAGAAAAATTAGGGAAATATATAAGACCTAAACATAAAACAACAAGTACATATATTAAAAAATATGTTAATATACTGTCATGCTGCTGTTACTGGCTGTCATTCATTTATAGAAGTATTAAAACTTTCGGTTTCTTAATTATTACAGCTCAATTTCAACAGCAGTGATAGGAAAACTGCATACATACACTATTTTCAGAGTTACCTATTTACAAGAATTTGCAAAAACATCCTAATCAATTAAAATTCTTATGTTGTAATTGCCAAATATTTTACTAAAATTCTTCACGGAATACAGGAACTTTACGATATTAAAATTCAATACTTTTCAAATATAAGATAAAACTGGTTTATAACAGGGGATTTTCAAATCGCCATGACAAAATTATATTTTACACCAGTTTTTAAATATGTCGTCCAAAATATCACCAAATACACAATTAATATTATTTTTCAAAACAGCAGTTAATACTAGATGGTCGATGCAAACAAGAAATTTCACTGTCGCAACCCTTAAGAAAATAATCTACAAGGGTCCTCTCTTCAACCAATGGATAGATCCCTAAATGAGAAATTCTTCTTGTATATACCATTAATATTTTTTCAAATACTATATAATAACTTTAAAGTAATGTTCAAGCTCACTATTATTCGGACTGTCAACATGGCTGAAACAAATAGCAAGCTTTTATTTATTTATACATTGTTTGAGAAACAGTAAAATATATTCGAATAATTCTATTCAACAATATTGGTAAACAATTGGTTTTTGCAGTATAACATTTAATTTTTTCAACTTGAAAAATTTGACTGTTCTTTATAATTAAATTTTACTGTATATAGAAGAATATAAAATATGTTCATTAAATGTATACATACTTTATAAATACTTTTTCAAATGAAAACCATATACCATTTCTCATAGAATATAATATTTCAGAAAGAGCGACACGCACGTGGACCTCCTATTGTTTTTAGGGATCTATGAAGTGTGAGAGCACAAGTGGATCAAATTTCATCTAATTATTTACGTACACATGTTTACAAAGCAATTGTTTTTTCTCTTGTATATCTTGGAATTTTATAGGATTTAGAGCTACATATTTAAATCTTAAAAGGCAGCAAATTAAAATTAAAAAAAAAAATTATTCAAAGGAGTTTATACTTGCTCTTTTTTTTTAAATTGATTTTTTTATATTTCTATTTTTAAAATTGCAAAAGAAAAACACATTTTTGGGCATTCCATCAATAAAAAATTACCAAGTTTTGTTCGTTAATCAATCAAAAAATTCAAGTTAACTTATAGAAATAGTGTTAAACATATACCGTTAAGTGAAAATTTGGAATTGTGAGAGAAAAACGGGCCCTTCCTACATGATACGAAATGGGCTATCAGTTTTGTAGATGTTAGTTAGCCCCGTTAATTTTTATTAATTTTTTTAGATTTACGATTAGCTGGACTAGATTACTAGATTAAGACCTAAATAAATACGAATCTGCGTCTTTCTTTATTCGGCAATCAATATATTATTGCTTAATAAGTCAAGCTAACGTAAGATTTGGCATTCAGTTCGACTCCCTTGACTACGAAAAAGATTGCTTAAAAATTTAACGGCCTCTTTAAACTTACATAAACTAATGATAAGTTCTAGCAATTTTGGGCTTCAAAATTGCAACAATATGGTAGTTTTGTACAATTCAGCTTATGAGTTACAGTTGCTGAATTATTTAGTAGTACTTTAGAGTTTAAGTAGTACTTAGAAGTCATTAAATATATTACTTAATTGTTTTTTTATTTATTTACTATTTATTTTAAAAATCTTACTAAAATATTTTATATGTTTATTATTTTCAGGGACATTATGTCAGTATTACCAATGAATCAACTGGATCATGTAAATTTTCCAAGAATGTTCAATGCGCCTAGTTATTATCCTGAATCTGTTTTTAATGCACAATAAATTTATTATGTGTTAAAGTTAATATAAGCAAATTAGTATATAAAGTAGGTTTAATTTAGAAGAATTTTTATTGTAATTTAACAACTCTATTTTTTTAAATTAAAAAGAGACGCATTTGTTTCGCAAAAACTGAACCAAGATACATAGATATACACTATATAAAACTTAAACTTCATTTTTAATTATTCTTTAATTTTACTTTATTCTTTAATGTAAATAAGTAGGTATTAAAAAAATTTGTAAAAAAAAAAATCTAATCTAAAATTGTTATTTAGAAAAATGAAATTTGAAAAAATTATATTAAATGCATAGTTATACATAATAATTAATTAAGATAGATTTCCAGATTTCAAAATTGTAACAATACGCTACTAATATACAATTCAGCAATTGCAACTCATAAGCTGAATTGTGTATTAGAGCAGTATTACCACAATTTTGTAGTCAAGATTTATTACACTTGTACAGCCATATAAAATTAGTATATAATTTAAAATTTAATATACAATAATATATATATATATATATAATATTATGTGAAAAAGGATATACAATATTCATACACAAATACAATATAAATACTTGAAATTAGAAATTGAATGTGCAATTATTAAATAAAAATTGTATAATAAATAAAAAATATAATGAAAAATTTCTGAATAATATTCAAAAAATTAAAATTTTTTTTTATTATATAATATAACAAAAAAAAATTCGAAAGTGGCCATCTTCCCCATTATCAATCTACGTTTACGATTTGCTTTATTCAGCAATTAAGTAGCACTAATAGGGAAGTCAAATTGACGCAAATTTGCATTTTGATGGAAAATGGGGAATCAAAATTAAACCTGAATAATAAATAAACGATTGAAGGTTTTCAAAGCTTAAGCTGAATTCATTGCATCTGACAGCATCTAAGCGTTAATCTCCAAATATAGCTGATGTTTATTTGCTCTTTTTTTTATATTTTTTTGTTAAAGCTTACATTGCATAAAAGTTTAAGCATTTCATGTTTAGAACAATTTTTATTTCTGCACATTAATTTATTTGTTCTAATAGCTTTTTAGTTTATTTTAAAATAAAATTTATTTTTATTATTTTTTCATATTGTCTACTTGACGCACTCCCTGTATTATGAAAAGACATTTCTTTTTATAATTAATCTCTTTTTTTTTTTATTTTCCAAAACATAGAATTCTGTTTCTCATACAATAAATTTAAGAATAAAAAACGACAAATTATGTTGTTCTAAAATTAAAAATTTTAAAGCTAGAAAGCTTTTATGAACAACAATTAATATAACAATAGCATTTCGCTGCAAAAAACGTCGTATATTTTAAAAAAACATAAAAATTAATGTAAAATTTAAATAAAAGCGAGTCCAAATTTTAGAATAGAGGAATTTAGGTATTTAAAAATTTATAAAATTTCTTACAGTTATAGAATATAATGAATTTATTTATGAACTAAAATTCTTTATTGAAGAATATTGAGAAATACATTTGTACACATAATCCTGAATTTAATATTGTAGAAATCCATTATTCAGCAACTACAATTCATACAAGCTGAATTTGTGCATTATAATGTGCTAATAAAATACCTATGGAGATCGGGAAAGAACAAAAACCTATTGCCAAAGTAATTTAGTCATGACAAATTTTATTACCTTATTGCCTTAAGACTTTTTTGAAAATTCTGAATTATGCCGTATAAATTAATTTTGACATGAAAATAACTGTAATTTAACAGGTACCATTACAAAAATCAGCACCCATTTAGCTAAATTTTATATTCTAATTAAGTAATTTTGCATATTTGATATCCGAATTTCATTTATTTCTGAATAAATTGACAAAGAATTAGATCTTAAATAAATTATAATAAAACCTCGTAAAATATTTTAATACTATGCCATCAATTTCCGAATCTTTTAAAATTTTCCTTCTTTAAAATTACTTTGGCTTTTCAATGTACAAAATATAAAAATACAAATTTCAAGTGTCATTTAGAAAGAAACTTTTCTATCTGCGGACGTATAGTAAAAGAACGCGGTTCATCATAATTAATTCGATTAATTTTTAATGGCCATATGCCAAATTATTTTTTTTCCTTTACTTTTATAATTTAGTATAAAGAAGACAATAGTAAAATTCATTAAAAATACATTTTGTGAACTAAAATATTTTGATTTAGTTGAAATAATTTAAAAATTTAATGAAAACTTAAATTTTATAATTAAAAGAAAATAAAAATTTAATTTACAAAAATGAAAATTAATAAGATTAATAAAACAGAAAAATTAAATAAAAAATTAAAAAATACAATTGAATGTGAAAAAAATGATAAAAATGAAATTATTCTTGGAATTCCAACAATTAAAGGAAGAAAATATTATTTTTCATCTGTTTGTAATGTATGTGGTACACACGATAAAACAAGTTTTCCCATAAAATATTATTAAATATCTAAAAAAGATTAATTATGTAACAAGTATTAATGAAAAAAATTTCAACATTTTTTTTTTCTTTTTAGCTTTGTCGCGTTACTCCAATCAATTTTAATTGTGATAAATGTAAAATAATATATTATTGCTCAAAGGAGCATGCTAAAGCTGATTATGAACACCAAGAATTCTGTGATGTTATACAAGAAATTGCTAATAAAAGAGGTAATGGAAAATAATTTGTGAACAATATTGTAATTACAATGATTATACAGGAAATCAATAATCTATGCGTATACAAAAATGCAGATCTAATGTCAACTAATCTCTTCAGCTGATATACAATTTGAATTGCTGAATAAATTATGCAAGTACAGAAGGTATACGCTCAATGTTACATATTTTGCCATATGATTTAGCCTAAATATCTTTATAAACCGGCACAAATTCCATAATTTTAGAGTTTCCATTAAAAAAATGCAATGCTCTACTGAATATTGTGTAAATAAAAATTACGAAAAAGTGTATTCAAAAATTTGCATTAAATTTTGAACTTAAATTTTTATAACTGGTTAGATGTGTAGATTTCTCTTATTTTTTAAATATATACATTTAAACTTAACAATAAAATATCATGAATTTCAGGCAAATTAAATACACTTTTTAGTCATAATTTTCTAAATATCAAAATAGCCTACAACTTGACTTCAATGCAAAAACAAATATAATTTTGATTTGTGTCCCTAAAGAAATGTAAGACTTAAATTATTAATTATTTTGTATTATTTTTTCAAATAAAAAAAAGGAAATAGAATTTTGCGACAATTCAGATCCTGTTCTAAAATTTTCTAAAATTTCAAATGCAATTCAAATGCATAACAATTCCAAAATAACAATTTTTTATTTCAAAAATCAATATACACGTTTATTAAATGTGTACATATGTATGTGTATACATAAATATGAATAAAATCAATGTCAATATTAATAATAAATAAATCAAATTTTATATTATAAAATTAAATAAAAATATCTAATTATTTTACCTATAAATCTTCTTCTGAAAAAAAAAATTAAAAAAAAAAAATACCAAATTGTATAAACAATATATCAAACCATTACCAAGAGCATTTTGAAGCCTAATGAACCATAATATCATTTAGATAAATTATATTTATTAAAATACATTACTTATATTTCCTTATTTTTTAATTTCATTTTCCTCTTTTATACTACATATTTCTTGTTTTTCCCGTAGACTTGAGGGCCAATTAATTTTATGGGTTACAAGATTTGAAATACATATTAATATAGGCACATATATAGAATGCAGATGCAAGATCACTTATACAAAATGTACAGAATCATTATCGACACATTAATGTGTCACAACTCAAATCAAACCAAAATAATATGTTAATGATTTTTTAGCGCGAATATTCTATTCCACTAATTAAATTTTTCCAATTTTAAAATATTTAAAATTCTTTTTTTAAAATTTGTACATTTTGCTTACATGTGTATGTTATATACATAATAATATGTATATGTTCTTACATTATAAGCAATATATTAAAAACTCGTGTTAATTTTTACAAAAATTTGCATATCCCGTAAAACAATTTGTGTTAATTAAAATGCAGTCAAACTTTAATATGTACTTGATTACTGTGTATTATGTTCAAAAAGAATTTCTTAGACTGCAAAGCAGTATCTTTAAAATATCAAAACTATAGCCAGTAACAGCATCTTTGAAAATTGCTAATGAACGTAAGATTATTAATAAATATGCTACGCATTATTATAGTACTTTTAATTCGTTAAATGTAATAACAAAAATAAAATAGTAATAACTTAATAAAGAGATTAAATTCCTAATATAATTTTAGTCATAGAATATAAATATAGAATACAAAATTCTCTTAATCCTCATGATTTTGGAATTATGAAAATGTAACTTAGATTACAATTATTATACTACCATATTTTATAATTATTCCACAAAGATTAGTGTACACAAAATTATTTTTGCAAAACTTAAATATAAAAAAACAAAATTATTACATAGGCATTTTATAATTCACTTAAAATATATTATTTAATATTTAAATTTTAAAATGTTCAATGTATATAAATATAGAATTTTGTCTAGATGCTGAAAATTGAATTTATTATGTCGTTGCTCTATGTTTATTTCAATTTAAAAAGAAATATATTTAAGAAAAGTTGGGATATTTTCTTCTTATTTTATATACAAATATACATATATAAAATATGCGTATATATTCTGAATATCGCATTCAATTCGATGCAAATTATTGGCTTATCGCCAAATAATTTTATATCAATTTTTCTCTGACGATATATGATCATTATCATTACGGGTATAACATAAATAGACATGTGTTTTTTTATAATCAAATTTGAAACCTAAATGCATTAATATTTTAGCTTAAACCATTTTTATTAATGAATTATACATATTCAAAAATTAATAACCACGCGACATTCGATGATTTCAATTCCTTCAAATTAACCATTCTAAATCGGAACCGGCAAGCAGAGTATAGAAATTCGAATAAAAATTTTTGATGGTCTCAAAATATTAAGTATATTGCAAATTATGCTATATGAATACAGTTCCATGTTACCCCAAAATGACAAATTTTTGTTTGCATGGTCAAAGCTAAAAGAAAAAAACAAAACAAATATGAGTCTTATATGCTTTAAGAATAATGAATGAAAATCTAATTGGCGAAAAAAATGTCTAAAGAAAAATGTTCAATAAAATTTAATTTATTAACGAAAACAAAACAAAAAAACCGCAGAAAATTAAATTAGAAAAAATTTATTTGAAAGAAGAACAGATTTTTATCTTATACTATTTGTAAAATATTTGAAATAAAATCAAATACCAATTTAATAAGTCTAAGAAAACATTATTTTTGAAATGAGTGCGATGCGATGTCTTTATTTTTTTTTTTTTGTTCATTTTATAAGAATATTAAACATGAAGAATTTATTGTGTTTTATTCGTTCTTATAAAAGAAATTAATGCGTAGGAGAAACATACACGGTTAAATTTACCCAAATATGTTTTAGCATGCTCTAATATTGAATTTATTAGAGGACAAACAGAACATATGAATATGTAGATAGTTGGATTAAGTTTTCAATCCCTTCAAAATTATATTATACATATAATCATATTTTTTGCAATTTCTGAAATGTTCAGCAAATTCTAAAACCTGTTTAATTGCACATTTCCAGAAGCACCGAAAATATACATTATTGTACAAATTTCCGGTATTTCATCATTGTTTTACGAAATTGTTACATACAAGAACTACTGCACTAAAGATTCAATTTCATTCAAAAAGTGATTTTTTGAAAATTAGATCAGTTATATGATATGCAATAGGCAATGCATGCAATAGCCAAACAGTTGACGTAACTTTAGTAAGCTATAAGATATACGCGAAAGAATAATTTCGAACCTTATTTTTTCAGTTGAAAGTTTTATCAAAAAAGTGCTGCTTATTATTTACCTTAATACCAGTAAATATTGATGCTTCATACAAATTTCCATATCCTTTGTAATCTTAAACATAGAATTTTATTCACAGAACTTTTCCTTTTCCATTTTTATTTTAGGAGGACATTTATATAGTGGTACATCAAATTTAACATATGATGAATTTCGAACATATCGCGTAGTTACACTAAATATGTGTCAAGCAATGCTTAATAATCAAATAACACCTTATGAAAAAGAAGCAATTTTATTCCCTAAATTATGTGGAGCCAATAAATGCAGGGAGTGCCGAAATGAAAACTTAAAAAATTGTGATTATTGCGGAGAAGTAAGTTCATACATATAATTAAGAAATCATTTAATCAGCAAATAAATTTAATTATTGTATATTTTTGTTAGATTGCATTTTGTAGAAGCAAACTAGAACATTTTAACAAATCTCATTTTATATGGTGTAATTTTTATTCCCTATTGAAAAAAATTCATATTGTTCAAGAAAAAAACGGGATAATCGTACCTAAATTTCCAACAAAAATATTAAGCGAAAATGAAAGCAAATTTTCAAATCCAACAATGGGAAAAATATTTAAAGCTTTAAATTTAGGTAAGAACTAATTATACATAAAATGTGTTATTAGAAAACTGGGTTACAAAATAAACAGATTGCACTAAAATTCGAACTTAAAATTCTTTAAGTTAAAAATATGATTATTTTTAGATATCATTGAAGAAACTTCAAATTCAATGCTTACTTTAGCAGCATCTGGACCTTTAACTTCATGGTATGCATTAAAATTGACGACAAAACTAAATCAAGAAGAATTAGTTATTCATATTATAGGTAAATTATTTTAATTTTTGGTTTCTTGTTTGTAATCCTCGCTAGTATTGGTTGATTTCAAATTCGGAAAAAATTTTGTTTTTTTTATAGGTATAACTTAGTTTATAACTAAAGACCGCCTTTCTAGGAAAATTGTATCGACTTTAATTCTTAATTTTAACCTATTTAATATTTTTAATCTAATATCACGTATTGTTTCTTATTTATATTTTGAATAGTTACAATATTTTGCCTCCAATAATTTTGTTCTCATACGTCGTATAGGTGCCGAAATTGAATTTGAGCTTGATTTGTTAAATAAATGGGAATCATTTTTTCTACATCTTCTACCAAATTTAAAACATCTCACACTGCAATTCGTAGGACCGGAACTTAATTATAAACATCAGTTTTCAAATAATTTAGTCAAACTACAGTAAGTACCTACCTAATACATAAATTTATATGAACATCTATATGTACTTATTTATTTTGTATTTAGATTATGTAAATTATGTAAGAAAAGTAATCGGACAGTTACACTTCAGTTTGAGAAAATGTTATATCATGAATTTTGTGCAGAAAAATCATATACTAAACCTAATTTGAGTAAGAGAATCGCAATACTTATCTGTTTGAGTTTCTAACATTAAATTGTTTACTTACTATTTAATTTTTCGTTCTTTTTTTTAGTATCATTTTACAATCCTGGACTACATAGGTCAACTGGATTCCAAGATATGGATACATGGCCATTAACAATTAAAGAAGCAGCAAAAGCATTTTGTCCAATCGTAATTACTTCATATACACATTATGAGTCACCTTTAGATTTAAAAAGATTCTTAAATTACTCCAATCGGACGATTAATATAATACAGCCTCCATCAGTAAATATTTTTAAGTCTAGCAAACCTGAAAGAAATTTCATATCTGATGAAACTGTTCCATTAATATTTAAAAATTTTTATAGTTTCATATTGCAGTAAATACAAAATATTTTAACTAATTTAGTAAAATAAAATAAGATTGATTGATCTAATGATAATATAAATTTTACAAATTTGTACATTGTGTAAAAAAAAAACATTCGATAAGCTTTATAAATTATTAAAATTATTCAATTTTTTTAGAAAACCTTGTATTTTTGAAACTAAAATAAAAATGATGAAGTTTTTTAACAAGTTTTTTCTTATAAATCAAAATTCATACTCACATTAAATTTAATAGATCCAATTGAGAAAAAATTTCAAAAAGAATCTTCTGAAGCTATGATAATCCACTTATACTGTTCAAAAGAAAGTACCTATATTCAGTTCAAAAGAAAATTCAAATACCATTACCAGCTTTACGCTTTATTGGAAAAAAATTTAAATCCAATTCGTCAATTTTATCAATTTAATTTTATTTCAAAAAAAAAAATTTTAATGAGGGCTGATAAATTAAAAATATGAACAAAAAAATCATCAGTAGTGACATTTTACGACAAATATGGAAAACTGTATTATCACGTAGATTATTAGTCTTACCCCTAGATGTCTCTAAAAACCACTTTACACCGTTGAATGTCAAAAACTTCACATACTGTACAAAAAAAAAACAACATAACCCCCAAAATATTTTGTTCGAAAGTTATTTAATTTAGCAAGGACATTGTAACTTAGTTTCTTTTGTTTTTGTGAATTTTATTTTAGTATATTATTTCATCATAAAATAGAAAATATAAAAATATGAGTTTGCTTCTAAGAGGCATCCGCTTACTTAATTCAAAAAATAGTTTATTATTAACTCCAAGAAAATGCACTAATAGATGTTTAATCAACAATGTTAAATCAAAATGGAATATTCAAAGTTTTAATTCACGATACAATATTGCCTCAATTGCTCCGTATCATATAAGAGCATTTAGCACCAAAAAGGAACCAGATGATGAACAACCTATAAATGAAGGAGAAAATCAAGGGCAAGTTCCTGCAACTGTTGCTATTCCAGAAGTTTGGCCACATTTACCTTTAGTAGCTATTCGAAGAACACCCGTCTTTCCAAGATTCATGAAAATTATTGAAGTAAAATTAATAAATATTTTATTTTAAAAATTATTATGATTCAAGTTTTTAGGTTACAAATCCTTTACTTATAGACGTAATTAGAAGAAAAGTCAAATTAAATCAACCGTATATAGGGTTGTTTTTGAAAAAAGATAGTGATTCGGAAGAAGAATTAGTAAAATCAATTAGTGATGTATATAGTACCGGAACATTCGCACAAGTTCAAGAAATGCAAGATTTAGGAGATAGACTGCGTTTAGTAGTTACAGCTCATCGTAGAATTAAGGTCTTGAAACAACTTATAGAAGATATAGCTCCTGAAGAAAAACGTAGGTATTTCTAGTATGTTACGAATATCTTTTTAAAATTTAAAGTTTTTTAAATTCTTCACTTAATATGGTATGGCAATAATGAATGATTAAAAAATTGAAATATAATATAATTCATTAAATATAAATTACACTTCCTTCGAGTTAATTCATTTCTCATGCATAAATTTGGAAATTCATCTAAAACATGCAACTTTCTAGGTATTATTGTACCTACGATAAAATTGTGTAAATTATGAAAATTAAATTATTAAAGAATAAACCAATACATTATTACCTATCTAGCTATACATATATTCCGAATTTATGTTTTACCAAATTTTTTCTAATATACAATTTAGTTTTATTATATTAAACACATCATGAAGTCAATCTCTGTATTTATCAAATTTCATATACACGATACTACAGAGGTTAAAATCAAATTTCCTGTTTTTAATATTAATCTATATACATCAGCTGAAGATTCAGATGAAAAGAGATCATCAAGAAGGAAGGTACGACGGAACAACCACATTAAACCCAAAATTACATTAGAGCCAAAAAATCTTGAGGAACAAAAACCTACAGAACAGCCGGTATTAATGGTAGAAGTTGAAAATGTAAAACATATTCCGTTCAAACAAAACGAAGAAATCAAGGCTTTGACTCAAGAAGTTATCAAAACAATACGTGATATCATATCTCTGAATCCTTTATATCGAGAAAGTTTGCAACAAATGCTTCATCAAAATCAACGAATAATAGATAATCCAGTGTATTTGGCTGACTTAGGTGCATCTCTTTCTGCAGCAGAACCCAATGAGCTGCAGGGTATTATGGATGAAACAGATGTATGTATTGCGTAATCACAAAAACATATTTGTTCTATTTAACTTTGTTTCATAATTTATTTTTAGATTTCAAAGCGATTATATTTATCATTAAATCTTCTAAAAAAAGAATTGGAATTGTCAAAACTTCAACAGAAAATCGGCCGAGAAGTTGAAGAAAAAGTGAAGCAACAGCATCGGAAATATATTTTACAAGAACAATTGAAAGTTATAAAAAAAGAATTGGGCATTGAAAAAGAAGATAAAGATGCATTGGGTGAAAAATATAGGGAAAAATTGAAAGCTAAAACTGTGCCAGCGGCTGTTATGACTGTTATTGATGAAGAATTGAACAAATTAAATTTCTTAGAAAGCCACAGTTCAGAATTTAAGTAAGAAAATTTTTAAAAACATTTTTTCTTTACATATATATTACATATGCATGCACTTATATAATTTTATATTTTCAGTGTTACTCGAAATTACTTGGACTGGCTTACAACACTACCCTGGGGCGTGACAAGTACAGAAAATTTAAATCTTGCTGATGCAACAAAAATATTGGATGAAGATCATTATGGAATGGAAAGTATTAAAAAGCGAATTTTAGAATTTATAGCAATCAGCCAACTGAAGGGATCCACACAAGGCAAAATTTTATGTTTTCATGGTCCTCCCGGTGTTGGTAAAACCAGTATAGGTATAAAAGATTAGACTTAAAAAGTTATTTAGAAATTTAAAAAACATAATAATTTATATTTTTAGCTAAATCAATAGCAAGAGCTCTTAATCGAGAATACTTTCGATTTAGTGTCGGTGGTATGACCGACGTCGCTGAAATCAAAGGTCACCGTAGAACTTATATAGGAGCAATGCCTGGCAAAATTATACAATGTTTAAAAAAGACACAAACTGAGAATCCTCTCGTTTTAATTGACGAAGTAGACAAAATAGGAAAGTAAGTTTTAAAAGTATATTGTCGTAAAACAGAGTATCAAGAAGTTTCAAAAATATTTTAAAGGGGTTATCAAGGCGATCCGAGCTCTGCATTGTTAGAACTATTAGATCCTGAGCAAAACGCAAACTTCTTAGATCATTATTTAGATGTACCTGTGGATTTATCACATGTTCTTTTCATATGCACGGCTAATGTTATTGATACGATTCCTGAACCATTAAGAGATCGAATGGAATTGATTGAAATGTCAGGTAAAGCCTTTATTTTCATTTTCTACTATAGTTGTTTTAAATTCATAAAAAATATTAGGATATGTGGCTGAAGAAAAACTAGCTATAGGGAATCAATATCTTCTTCCTCATGCCCTCAAAGATTCCGGTCTTACCAAAGAACAAGTTACAGTAGAAGATGAAGCCTTAACTAGTTTAATTAAATTATATTGTAGGGAATCAGGAGTAAGAAATTTGATGAAGCATATTGAAAAAGTAATATATTTTAATCATTGTTAAACACATAATAATTACCACAATTTTTTTAGTTGGTACGGAAGGTAGCTTATAAGATTGTGAACAAAGAAATTGAAAACGCAATAATCACTTCTGACTCGTTATCTGATTACTTGGGAAAACCCAGGTTCTCCAACGAACGAATGTATGAAAAAACGCCACCTGGTGTCGCTATGGGATTGGCTTGGACTTCTATGGGTGGATCAACATTATATATTGAAACTGAAAAACGTCGTATACCAGATACAAAAGCAGATAAAAAAGAAAGTGATGGCTCAATTTTTGTAACTGGAAACTTAGGAGATGTTATGAAAGAATCTGCACAAATATCATTAACGGTGGCAAGAAATTTCCTAAATTCAATTGATCCCAAAAATAATTTCTTAAATACCGGGCATATTCATTTACATGTGCCGGAAGGTGCAACACCAAAAGACGGACCAAGTGCTGGTATAACAATAGTAACGGCCTTGTTGAGTTTAGCAACAAATAAACCACTACGACCCGATATTGCAATGACAGGGGAAGTTTCACTTAAGGGAAAGGTGTTACCTGTAGGAGGAATCAAAGAAAAAATAATTGCGGTATATTTTACTCCATTTAAAACTTAAATTCTAGAAAAATGCAATTACATAATTATTAAATTTATCTTTGTATTTTTTTTTTCAGGCAAAACGAAGTGGTGTTAATACAATTATTCTACCCAGCGAAAATAAAAGAGATTACACAGAGCTTGCAAAATACATTGTGTCAGATATTGATGTTCATTTTGTATCACACTACGATGAAGTATATAACATTGCATTCGAAAATTCCAAGAAGGATTAAAAGTGTTTTTTATTTGTTACTGTTTTAGGATATGTTTACAAAATATTGTTTTTTAATAAAATACGCTGAATTTTTTTTACAAAAATCTTGCGAGTTTTGTTTTTATATAAAATATTGATAGTATAATTCTTTCTTTACTTTCAGTATTTGATTTAATTATTGTAATGAAATAGTAAAAGAAAATTAAATTTCTAAAATTGTAATCATATAAATATATTAAGTAACGAAATCATTAATATCACACTATTTAATTTCTGCCCCCATATCAAAAAAATCTAGTTTATATGTATATAAGAATTAACTACCATACCTTCAATAAACATTAATTATTTAACAAAACAGCATGATGATTATAATCTATAACTAATGAAAATGAGTTAGTAACGAATTCCATCACTAAGACAACTTCTAAAATAAAAAAACAAAGTTTCTTCTAACAAACAAGACAATTAATGAAAATGTGTGGACATTGTAAATTTAATTCTGTAAAATTCGTTGGATTATTTTATTTAATTTTCTCTTACTAAAAAATACTAAAAGAAATTAATTGAAATTTTTGTTTTGATTTGAGTGAAATCAAAAACTGTAGAAAGACATGGCTACGGAGCAAGCAGAACTTGACCAATTGGCCGAAAATGAATTATTACGACTGCAACAACAAGTACACATTAATTTTCCTCATTGTGAATAATTTATTAAAATAATTTTAAAAAATATTTTTAGTTGCGAAAATTAAATTTAGAATTAAAAAGCTTATTGGAAGATAAGAAAACACTACTTATTAAACAGGAAAAGCTAATAAAACTGCTGCAAAAAGAACATGAAAATATCAAAACTGAAATTCATTTCATTGAAGATGGTGTTCATTCAAAAAAAGAAAATCAAGTAATTTGTTGACGAAGTTCCAAATCCTTCTATAACATAAAGACAATTTATTATAAAAATTATAATTTTATTGAGTTTACTTTTCTTAATTATTAAACATCAAATTTTTTTCGAAAAACCGTTTTTGCTAGATCAATTTGATTTAGAACAAAATGTAGATATTAAGTAGCGGCTTGGTAGATATTAGTAGAGGCTACATACTCTTAAAAAATTTATTTAATATTAACAAAATCTCTTACCTTATATCCTAAATGAAAAATAAGTCAAGTGTTAATTATTAAAAAACGTTTACAGGAAGAAATGCGCTTATTGAAAATTTATGATGTTTTAGCGGAAGAACAAAAAAAATTGAAAAATGAAAAATTTTCCATAAAAGAATTAAATGGGCATATTAGAAAGGTAAGATAAATGAAATATTTAATTCAACATATGTAATTTCCTTAGCATCTTATATTTCAGCTTGAAAAGGAAATTGAATCTTTACGAAAGAATGAAGTTACGGACAGTATTTATAAGGAAACAATTAAAAAAGTTAAAAAAAATGTTGTTAAACTTGAAAATCGTTTGGATGTTGTAAATAAAAAAAGCAGTGATGTATTAACAGAAATATTTAAATTAAGAGAATCAATCAATCATATTTTACAAGATCGGTATCTAAATATTAATGTGACTATAATTTTTTAGTAATAAATTTATAATCTAACACTATAATTATAGTTCTCACTTTAATGTAATGTGGCAGTCAATGGTTACACAATTTAATCAAGGTAAAAAATATATAATGGAACTAGTTGATCAATCAACTTTAGCTTTTGACCAAAGAGAAGAGCTTTGCACAAAATTACAAGCATTGAAGGATCGAAATGAAACTGATAAAATGCTTCACATACAAGTAATAAAATTATAATTTAAAATTATAGGAAATTATAATTTAAAATTGTAGGAAATGCGTGAAGTTCAACGAAAATTAGAACACGATGACAAACTCCAACAATTTTATAATATTAAAGGCCAAAAACGAATAAATTCTGATTTAGAAGAACGTGAAATTCAAAAGAAAATTCAGTTAAGAGAGGAATTCGAAAAACAATTAGAAAATTATAATGAATTAATATCTTGTATAAAGGTGAAATTTTAACTTAAAAGTATTTATTTTATTAGTTTTTAAGTTTAAGTTTATTGTAGGAAACATGTAAAGAAGATAATCTTGATAAAGTAGCCTCACAATTTACTACACAAGAAGAAGAAAATTTTGCACTCTTTAATTATGTTAACGAATTAAGTTATGAAGTAGAAACTTTGAATGAGACTGTTATGACTTTGAATGAAGACATAGGTTGGTTTATTTCAACATAATTTAATATGTATACATAGTTTTTATTATATTTAACTAACACATTTTTTTTTTTTTAAAACATTCAAATAGAAAAACAAAAGGCTGAAAGTATTGAAATTGCTCAAAAGAAAAAAACTGAAGCTGTAGATTATTTAACTAATATGAAAAATTCGTTTCAAAAAGATTATGAAGAATCTACTAACAGAAGACAAACTATTGATAATGAACTTAATTTATTATTGGAGGGAATTGAAGATTTATTTAAGTAAATTTTTTAATAATTACATTCAAAACTGTTGAAAATAATTATTCTTATTTATTTTGATAGGTTAATTCAATGTGAAGATATCCCGATATTAAATGTTTTAAGTGCTAAACATTTTATATCCGTTCACAATGCAAAATTATTTCTTGGGATTATTGATCGTCGAATTAATGGTCTTATAAGTAATATTAACACTGAAGATATATCAACGAAAATATTATCTAAAAAGGATCGTATTCCTAAATTCAATATTAAAGATTCAGTAAAAGGCAAATCTTAGAAAAACTTGTTTTTTACCATTAATTACTAAATCACATTTAATTTTCATTATTAAATTTTTGAAGTTTAAAAGTGTTAAAAGTTATTTTCTCTTGAAAACATATTCCAATTTTAAGTTTTTAATAAATGTTTTCGAATCAAGGGACCATGGACGAAGGAAAAATTTTACTTGTATCTTCTAGATTTAATACTTTTGAATTATTTTATATGTAATAACTTTTATACATACATACTGAACTTAGAAAAATTTTATTTTATTCTTTTCTTCAAATTTCATTAATTAATAAGTAATTTGTGCAATTTTATTTTACAATTAGCTTAAAAAGTTTTTTAAGTTATTTATAATGATATTTTTCACAAGAAACTTATATTTTATTAGCTTAAATTAGTAAAATTTTAAATAGGTACTTTATAAGTTACTACAAAGACTAGCATTAATTCATTTTAATAACTTGATAAATAACTGCATTATATATATTTTATTTTAACAGAATTTTTAATCCATTTAAAATATTAAAATTAATTCGATTTCTAGTATAAAAAATGGAATTTATATACAATCTTCTATTAAAAAATTATTTTGGAATACATTTTTACAAATTTATAATACATAATGTAGATATATAAAATAAAAAAATTTAGTACAAAATACAATTTTTTTTTTTCATTTTAAAAATTTATTCCAGTTGATATCCTTTAATAAATGGTATTCCTATGCCAACCTTCTTTTGATAATCGAAATATTGTTTTCCGAAAAAGTTTATTAATGTTATTTCTTCTATATAAATTCTCTCACTGAAAAATTTCCAACTTACAATTGTATAAAGTATGGTGCAAATAGGATTGCATAATATTATCTAAATTCATAAGAAATTTAATAAGTTTATATGAGTGCTGAATTTATATTACAACCTGAGTGCCAATTGACCACCAGAACCATCCTACATATGATGGGTGTCTCATAATCCTGTATATACCATGTGTAATTAATTTATGGCCTTTTCTTTTCTCAAATTGTACCTTCAAATAGATAAAATAATGGTTTATAAGCAAATAAATAAAAACACCGAATTTCCATGTTTACCAAATGAGTAAAATTGCGTTTTGCTGTTATCATAGCCAATTTTCTTAGAAATTCACCAATAAAGCATATAGTGAAACCGATAACCCATAATATCCAATAACATTTCATATTCGGCCAAAAATATATTTCTACTATGAATTCTATCCAACTTGAAATGGCAGCAATAGCATACTGAACTGAATGATTTAAAATGAAGCTACTAACTGATAAATTTTCTGGGTTTGACCAAGCTAACGTTAAGAATTCTGTGTAATGGAATAATGACATAGTCATTCCATATATTCCAAAACTTTTATATTGAAAAGGAGCATAGCACAAAATTAGGGCACTAACTGTAAAAGTAAATCCTAAAAATGATGCACGTATTCCAATCTAAAATACATAATATATCTTAAATAGGTACTTGTAAAAAAAATATATGACAATTAATAAAAAATTAAATGAACCTACTTGATATGAATCTCCTTTTAATTTATATCTCAAAATCATATTGATGAGAGCATAATAAAAAGCCGGTCCCCAAAATATAGCATTGTATTTATTTGGAACTATTTGAAAAAATAATTGTGGTGCTAGTAAAGTAAATATTGTAATGGCAGTAACAGAAAAACAAACTAAACTTAATTTCCCTTCAAAGCAAAGCATATTGATTTGATTTAACTTAATTTAAAAATAAATTCAATATTTGCACATTTTTCTATTACAGCAATAATATAGTATCTAAATGCTCTTTTGCAAATATTTGTAATAAATTTGACTAAATAATTATAATTGTGTATAAAACTTTCAAAATAAAAACATGTCATTTCAATACCACTGGAGACTTTCCGATTTTACATACAATTGTTTTTCACACGTCAAGTCTAAATAATATCTACATTTTTAATGCTACACCTTGTTTGTGTTATCAAAAATAATTTCTTTTTAAATAATCACAAGAATTAACGGAAACCATAAGAATCCCTTCAGGAGATAAAACTTAAAGAATACATTACAATTATTGTAAAAATAGAACTAAAGTGGTGAACGGCAACGGCGGACAAATTCCGTTGATAACCTAGAATAAGAGCGGAATTGTAAAATCAAAAAGATGAAGTCGAAAAAAAACCACCTTCTTGTAAAGAAGGATTTTAAGTTATTTTATCGCCGGCGGTTAAATTCAAGCTGGTTGTTCTATGAAAATTATTTGAAATAAATAACTTGATTAAAAATGACTCAGTTATACTAAAGAGAGTAAAGTATGCACAAGTCAAAACTAACGCAACCTGTCAAAAAAAAATTAAATATTGATTTCTATTAAGAAAAAAACACATTTACGAGTCAAAATTTCTTATTTTTCAATAATATAATGTTAAAATTTCATTCTCTACCGTGAAAACACCTAAGTTTCTAAATAGTTTTCTATTTTCTCAACGTTAAAATATTGGTATTAAATATTTTTTATTTATTTAATTTTTTATTTATAACCGACACTAATATAAAAACTTTCATTACAAACGATTTTGAAGTAATGTAAAATACTTCGTCAATATTTTTATAAATAATATACAGTAAAGAACGATACTTTTTTCAGTTAACGCAGTTTTCACAATATGAGAGCATTTTACAAAAGCCATTTTGAATACTCGTATTCTAAATGTGCTAAAACTGGCAAGTTTTAACTCAATATTGAACCAAGGTTGCATAATGAATACTATATAAAAATAACCAATTAGCTTGCTATGGATGTAAAAATACTCTATCGATAAAAATATAAAATTTTTTTCGTTTACCAGTCATCATGACGGATACAGATGGCTCTATATATTTCGAAATTTGCAAAGACGGTAACACTGTTACAGACAAAAAGACATTAAACTCTCCGTAAATTTTTTATTTGTAGCCGCCATTGATAAAAAAGCGGCATTGATATCAGTGTGAAATAATTGTAAAAATTATAAATAAATAAAATTGAATATTTATCTATTTCATTAGTTTGCGTTCATTTAATTAGTTGAACAATAAAGAAGAACTATGGCTACAGATGATGAGAACGATGATTCTTTTCAAGGTAAAAAATAGTCTTTGATATAGTGACATTTAGCTTTCTTGTTTAATAAGATAGGAAAAGGGGGCGAAAAAGTATTTTTATAAATAATAATTTTGATCTTTATTCTGGAATGTTATTTATTTGAAAACATTTGAATAAGTCCATCCTTCTAATTTTTCAAATTGAATGCAAAAAATTCCAAATAGGTTGTATAAAATTAAGTTTTAAAATTGTAATTTTAAGGGGTTAAGGGGGAAGAAATATGAAAGGAGTTCTAAAATTTAGTCGCCATTTTTAGCCCAAAAATTATTCTGCTTCAATAAAAAAAATTTATCGAATTTCATTTAAGTATATTTCCAATGAAAAAAAAAGAGTATCTTTTACCTTTAAGGGCAGTTATTTGAAAGCAAAAGTTTCTAAAGAAAAAAAAATTGCAACGAAATCTGGTTCAAATATATGTATATAATGTGGTTTATTTATATGTATATATTTTTTATACTACAGGAAAGGAATTCCAAGATGAACAACCTGCAGGATCTGCTGAAGTTTCTGCTGATTCTGATGAGACCCCTCTTAAAGTAAATGTAAGTAAAGAATTTGTTTTAAAGCAAAGTATGCTTAATGTTGCTCTCTTATAAATTTTGCAGCAGGATGATGACGATGATGATTACGAGCCAGATGAAAATAAGAAACGAAAGAAAAATAAAAGACGTCGTGGAAAAAATGACAAAGAAAAAACTCGTAAAAAAAAGAGAAGAAAGAAGAATGATTCTGAAGAAGAAAGCGACTTTCATGCGGAAGAAGGTGAAGGTAGCTCCTACTCCAGAAAAAGCAGAAGAAAAAAAGATCAGGAACCTGCTAAAGATTCAAAAGATTCTTCAAATGCGGGTTAGCGCAATATAATCATCAAATAATATTTTGTATTAATTGGATATATATTTTCCTTTTCTTAGGCATGCCTGGTGTAGAGGATGTTTGTTCGGCTTTTGGACTTAATGATGTTTCAATTGATTTTACTGAAAGTGAATATCAAAGCTTAACTTCATACAAATTGTTTCAACAGCATGTTCGTCCTATTCTACAAAAAGAAAATCCAAAGGTACCAATGCCAAAATTGATGATGCTTGTTGCCGCTAAGTGGCGTGAATTCACAGAAGATAACCCCAATTTGGAGAATTCTGCAGGAAAAGAAGAAGAGGATGACGAATTTGGAAAAGAAGAAAATGAGCAGAATAAAACTGCTAAATCAAGATCTTCTAAGGTAAGCAATTTTAAAACGGACTAGGTACATAAATTCTAAAAAACTTATTTATGCATTATGTTATTTTAGTCCGATGAAGAAGAAGAAGGTGAGGAAGAGGAGCCAGAACCTGAAAGAGAGCCAGAACCAGAACAAAGGGTATCAAGAAAGAAAAGAGGTAGAGGAAAAAAAGGAAGGAAAGGTTCTGGTAGAATACCAACTTTAAAAATAAAATTTGGAGCTAAACGCAGAAGAAACAGTTCTGACGATGATCAAGAGGCTAGTGCATCTGAACGAGACTCTGATTTAGAATTTGAAAAAATGCTTCAAAAATCAGAAGAAAGTGCTAGGGAAGCAAACACAAAAAGTGATGAAAATTCAACAGAAGCTCCTGCTGTTGTCAAAAAAGCCAAAACTAAAATTGGCAATAAATACAAACGTAAGAAGAAAACTAATAAAAGCAAAATTGAACCAGAAGATATTGAACACCAAGATTACTGCGAAGTTTGTCAGCAAGGTGGTGAAATTATTCTTTGCGATACTTGCCCCCGTGCTTATCATTTAGTTTGCCTAGAGCCTGAACTTGAAGAGGCACCTGAAGGTAAGTGGTCATGTCCACAGTGCGAAGCTGAAGGTCCTATGGAGGCTGATGACGACGATGAGCATCAGGAATTTTGCAGAGTATGTAAGGATGGTGGTGAACTTTTATGTTGTGACTCTTGCCCATCAGCCTATCACACATTTTGTTTAAATCCTCCTCTTGATACTATACCAGACGGCGACTGGCGTTGTCCACGCTGCAGTTGCCCGCCTTTATCTGGTAAAGCGGTTAAAATTTTAACATGGCGATGGAAAGAATCTAAAGGAGGTGAGGGCTCATCAAAGAAAAAACCTCCGAGAGAAAGAGAATATTTTGTAAAAATGAAAGATCGTTCTTATTGGAACTGTGAATGGGTTTCAGAATTGCAACTTGACGTACATCATTCACTCATGTTAAGAATGTTTGTTCGCAAATTTGACATGGAGGAACCCCCTAAATTTGAAGAATCTCTTGATGAAGCTGACAATAGATATTTGCGAATCCAAAAACACAAAACCCTTGGAGGAGAAGGTGATAGCAAACTTTGCGATGAAACGTACTTGGAAGAAAATTATTATCGATATGGAGTCAAACCAGAATGGCTAATTGTACATCGTGTTATTAATCATAGAACAGCAAGAGATGGTAAATTTATATTTGAAATAATATATTAAAACTGAATTTTGCTTTTAATTTTAGGTAGCAACGTTTATCTTGTCAAATGGCGAGAATTGGGATATGATATGGCTACTTGGGAGGAAGAAACTGAAGATATTCCTGGCTTAAAAAATGCCATTGAATATTATCACGATCTAAGAGCAGCTTGCCTAAATGAGGCAAATATACGTCGGAAAGGAAAAAAAGGTCGCAAATCAAAAAATAAAGATGAGGATGAAGACAGAACAATAAAACGATTTACTCCACCTCCAGAAAAACCAGTCACTAATTTGTCAAAAAAATTAGAAGTTCAACCAAAATATTTAGACGAGACCGGTATGCAGTTGCATCAATATCAAATGGAGGGATTAAATTGGTTACGATATTCATGGGCTAATAATATAGATACTATTTTGGCAGACGAAATGGGTCTTGGAAAAACAATACAGACAGTTACGTTCCTTTATTCTCTTTACAAAGAAGGGCATTGTAAAGGGCCGTTTTTGGTAGCGGTTCCATTATCAACAATTATTAATTGGGAAAGAGAATTCGAAACATGGGCACCAGAATTTTATGTGATTACTTACGTTGGATTGAAGGAATCAAGAATTGTGATAAGAGAGAATGAATTATCTTTTGAAGAAAACGCTGTTAGAGCTGGTGGCAAAGCCTCGCGTATCAGATCTAATACAATAAAATTTCATGTTTTGCTGACGAGTTATGAATTAGTTTCAATGGACTCAGCTTGTTTAGGGTCAATAGATTGGGCTGTACTTGTAGTTGATGAGGCACATAGATTAAAAAGTAACCAGAGTAAATTTTTCAGAGTGTTGAACAGTTACAGTATCGCTTACAAATTACTGTTAACTGGTACACCACTGCAAAATAACTTGGAGGAACTTTTCCACTTATTAAACTTTTTGAATCGCGAAAAATTCAATGACCTCCAAGCTTTTCAGAGTGAATTTGCAGATGTTGCAAAAGAGGAACAAGTGAAGAGATTGCATGATATGTTAGGACCACACATGCTGCGTCGTTTGAAAGCTGATGTGTTAAAAAATATGCCTTCAAAATCGGAATTCATAGTTCGCGTAGAATTGTCGCCTATGCAAAAGAAATTTTATAAATATATATTAACAAGAAATTTTGAAGCTCTCAACTCCAAGTCTGGTGGGAACTCCTGCTCGCTCATTAACATAATGATGGACCTTAAAAAATGTTGCAATCACCCATACCTGTTTCCAGCTGCTTCAGAAGAAGCCCCGCTGACATCTGGTGGAGGATACGAACTACAGGCGATGACGAAAGCCTCTGGAAAATTAATACTTTTAGCTAAAATGCTTAAACAACTCAAAGAAACCGGTCATCGTGTTTTAATTTTCTCTCAAATGACGAAAATGTTGGATATTTTAGAAGATTTTCTGGAGGGTGAGGGATATAAATATGAAAGAATCGATGGATCAATTACAGGAAATTTACGACAAGAAGCCATCGATCGCTTCAATGCACCTGGAGCTCCTCAATTTGCATTTCTTTTAAGTACTCGAGCTGGCGGTTTAGGAATTAATTTAGCCACAGCGGATACTGTTATAATTTATGATTCAGATTGGAATCCTCATAACGATATTCAAGCATTTTCTAGAGCTCATCGAATTGGTCAAGCCAATAAAGTAATGATTTATCGTTTTGTTACTCGTAACTCAGTTGAAGAGAGAGTTACTCAAGTAGCTAAACGGAAAATGATGTTAACACATTTGGTTGTTCGACCAGGAATAGGAGGCAAAGGTGCCAATTTCACAAAACAAGAGTTAGACGATATTTTAAGATTTGGTACTGAAGAACTTTTCAAAGAAGATCAAAAAGAAGATGAAGCTATACATTATGATGATAAGGCGGTGGCTGAACTTTTAGATCGTTCCAATAGAGGAATAGAGGAAAAAGAAAGCTGGGCAAATGAATATTTGTCATCTTTCAAGGTAAAAAGCTGCTTATTACATATTGATCTAATAGTTTAAAAACTTTATTTTTATAAAATATTTTAACCAGGTTGCCTCATATGCTACAAAAGAAGAAAATCAAGAAGAAGAGACTGAAGTTATTAAGCAAGAAGCCGAAAACTCTGATCCTGCTTATTGGGTCAAATTATTACGCCACCATTACGAACAACATCAAGAAGATGTTGGTAGAACCCTTGGCAAAGGTAAACGTGTCCGTAAGCAGGTGAATTATACAGACGGTGGCGTGGTTACTACTGAGTCTAGAGATGACGCAAATTGGCAGGAAAATGTATCAGATTATAATTCCGATTATTCTGGATCAGATCAAGAAGGTGAAGATGATGATTTCGATGAGCGTAATGAGAATGGCGATATAAGTCGTCGTGCAAAACGTCGATTGGAAAGAAGAGAAGACCGCGATCGACCACTTCCACCACTCTTAGCTAGGGTTGGAGGTAATATTGAAATCTTAGGATTTAATGCCCGACAACGCAAGAGTTTCCTGAACGCTATAATGCGCTACGGTATGCCACCACAGGATGCTTTTAATTCACAATGGTTAGTTCGTGATTTAAGAGGAAAATCGGAAAGAAATTTTAAGGCCTACGTTTCGTTATTCATGCGACACCTTTGTGAGCCTGGAGCTGACAATTCCGAGACGTATGCGGATGGTGTTCCTAGAGAAGGTTTAAGCAGGCAACATGTTTTAACTCGTATTGGTGTTATGTCTTTAATAAGAAAAAAGGTGCAAGAATTTGAGCACATAAATGGATATTACAGTATGCCAGAACTTATAAGAAAACCTTGTGAACCCGTGAGATCAAATCAAAATCAAAATCATAATAACTCTAACGAAAGTAAGCGTATACTTTTTTCTTATTTTAAGTATATATTTTTCTTCATGTCTATTTTTTAAATTTACTAAATTTAGGTGGCGAAAAAAGTACAACACCAAGTACCGTTGTGACACCATCGACAAGTGCAGCAGCAAGTCCAGCTCCACAATCTGAAAAAGAAGATGATAAAACTGTTCAAGACGATCCTGATAAAACTACTGATGTTGTTAAGACTGAAAATTTTGCTATTAAAGACGAAAAGTCAGAACTCGAAAAATCTAATAAAGATAGATCTAAAGAGGAGAATGAAATAAATTCGAACGAACCACTCTCTTTAAAAAAAGAGGTGAGAGATTCTGAGGCAAGCAAAGCGAAAACTGAAGACGATAAAAAAGATGTAAAAGATTCTAATATGGATGCAAATAAATCAGAAAAAACTTTTCCCGTACCGGTTGATCAAGATGATGACGACGATGTTGTTATAATAAAAGACGATGGAGAAATCGAAAAACCCAAAGAGCGCAAAGATGTAAAAACTGAAGAAACTTTGGAAGTACATAAAAGGAATTTTATGTTCAATATTGCTGATGGTGGTTTTACTGAACTTCATACACTTTGGCTTAACGAAGAAAAAGCTGCGGTTCCTGGCAGAGAATACGAAATATGGCACCGCCGTCACGATTATTGGCTTTTAGCTGGAATTGTTACACATGGGTACGGTCGTTGGCAAGATATTCAGAATGACATAAGATTTGCTATAATAAATGAGCCGTTTAAAATGGATGTTGGTAAAGGCAATTTTCTTGAAATCAAAAATAAATTTCTCGCAAGGCGGTTTAAACTGTTAGAACAAGCCTTAGTTATAGAAGAGCAGTTAAGGCGCGCAGCATATTTGAATTTGTCACAAGATCCAAATCATCCTGCTATGTCATTGAATGCTAGATTTGCTGAAGTTGAATGCTTAGCTGAATCTCATCAACATTTAAGTAAGGAATCTTTAGCTGGGAATAAACCTGCTAATGCTGTTTTACACAAAGTCCTTAATCAATTAGAAGAACTCCTATCTGATATGAAAAGTGATGTATCAAGATTACCAGCTACATTAGCGAGAATTCCACCAGTTGCCCAGCGTTTACAAATGTCAGAAAGATCTATATTGTCTAGATTAGCAGCTACAGCTGGAAATGCACACAATCCTGGTTTGTTATGTAAAAATTTTTGTTATATATATTTTATATAAATTATTTGAATTTGATTAATTTTTTCAGTGCAAACAATGCCACAATTTCCAGCTGGTTTTCAAGGTTCAACATTACCTGCTTTTGTTGGAGGTCCGGCAGGCAATTTTTCTTCATTTAGACCAACATTTTCAGTACCAGGGCAGAATACATCTAACAATTTCCCTAACGCAAATACTAATTCATCTAATTGAAATTATAATTTACTTTAAAATTGAATTAATTATAATATATTGATAATATGTTGTTATATGTAATTGTATGCATATATTTTCAGTTTTTAAGGGAATTTTCGCATTAATTTATAAAGATTTATAATATATATTATTTCACAATTTAATTTTAAAAAATTAGTTTAAATATTTTAACAAAAATCAAATTTGTATTAACACATTACATATTGATATATTTTTTGCTTTAATATAAAATTTCATATTATTATAATTGTAATATGTATTAAAATTTTCAACACAAGGAAAAAAGCAAAAAAAAAAAAAGATAAAATAGAAAATTTTCATTCCAAATAAACACAAATTTCAAATGAGTGGAAACAATAAAAAGATACATAATTCGTTTTATAAATTAAATGACATTTTAATAAAGAAATATAATCTGTGCGTAGTTAATCTAAAAAATATTTGTATCAGATTCATTAATCCGTGAAAATTAAATGAAAAATGAACTTAAAGTAGAAATATTTTAAAATTCAAAAATTTTTATTATGTAAGTCCTTTAGTTTTAAAACAAGTATTAAATTAAATAAAAATAAAAAAAAAAAAATTTTTTTTTGGAAAATTTAGAACCAAAATAATTGTTTAATTTTATAAACCACCTGTACATGCAAAGGAATAAGAAAAAAATAATAGGTAGCTATTATACATCCATTGAAACGTTTTTGCTGACAATATTTACACAGTACTTGCGAAAATTCAATTGTGTAAAAAATAATAAAATGCTGCATATTAAAGTCCTTCCATTTTATTTTATACTATCTTATTACATACAATAGAAATTATTTTTATTATTTGTACTGTATATGGATTAATATGTATTAAATTGCCATCGTATTTCTAGTTTGACAAAGAAAACCTGAAGAAATTATCAATTATATTGTAAACTACATATTTATTCCAAACCATTTCAGTACTGAGAATACAGTAATAAAGATTAGGTAAAGATTAATTCAAAGATTTTACGGATTATAATAAATTTTGGCAATAGTAAAAATCCGGCTCTGTATATGATATATACCTAATATATACAATACGAATTGAAATGTAATCTTATTTCATTATAGGAATTCGGAATTAAGTATAATAGAGGAAATGTTAAAAAAACAGAAGGAAAAAAGTCAATTAGAATTAAACAATTGTGAACCAAAATTTTTTTAAGCTCTCTATTTATATTTTGACTGTTACAATAATTATTATAAAATTACAGCAATATATCTACAATATATACTTACGAGTATAACTATGATTATGTGAAATAAAATAAACGAATACAATAAAATGAAATTAATTTTAAATAAAAAAATTCCATTTAAAAAGCTCATATCAATAAATTTAAGTTGCATATTGTGCATATACATACATTCAAATAGATATATAAAAATTCAACCAATTTCTATAATTGTAAATATATAGTACATATATATAATACAATATATTAAATTATATAATTTGTATAATAATAACAAAACACCCTCATATTATCATTTATGTTAACATCATCACAATATTATTACAATCATCATTCTACATACACCTACTTATATAATATAATATTATATACCTACATAAATATATTTTTTTTTTACCATTATAGAAAAAAACCATTATAAAATTGTAACATTTATAAATGTACACAAGTTACGTAATGACACTAATAAAATTTATCTTCTATAAAATTACCTACCAACATACAAAAACTAAGTATTCTTTAATAATCATTACATAGTGTTGATGATGATAAAAATTATTTTATGATATTGCTAAAATGATGATGATGATGATGATGATGGTGATGCTTAATAATGATAATACCTCAGTGGCTATACTATTGCTCAATCTTTTATATTTGTGTTTTTCTGTACCTTGATGACAAATTTTCAACTAGAAATAGAATATTTTTATATTGCTAAAAGCATACTGTGCCTTGCTTTTTTTATTCTTTATGGTTTTTTTTTTTTTGATTTCATCTAGTTTAAAGGCTTTTTCATATCCATAACCTTTAAATTACATTAAACAAGCAATAACATCCGTTTTTTAAGTCTTTATATAATTTTCCGTTCATAATATTATAAAATGAAGAAAAAAAAACCCTAAAAATACATCAGAAGAAGCAAGAAACAAACCAAAAAACAAAAAAAACCAAATCATCTACTAACCGTTAATATAATGAAATCCTCGTAAAATATATTTTATAAGTAGGTATGTACCTGTATATATTTATGCGTGTATATAGCAATGTTCACAGATAGCGCTATAAATATCCTGTGAAAAAATAATTTTTTTATCCTTCTTGTTGTCACAGTGGTTAACACTTAAAAGAGCAAAACGGTATAAAGCAAAATAAAAAAAAATAAAAAATTAAAGTGAAATAAAATTGAAACAAAAAAAAAAAATGAAATTCATAGACGTTTATTAGGAGAAAAAGATACCGAAAAGAAGCAGAAAAAGAAAAAAATCCAAAACCCTCACAATAACGTAACAAGAATTTTATATATATATATATATATATACGAAAAGGTATATACAATTTCATCTGACCATTGGTGCAGTGGTTATGGCACCGGTCCTTTAACCGAAGGGTCTCGGGTTCAAACCCCGGTCAGGTCACTATAAAAATTATATTCAATATTATTATAACTTAATATACAATACTAATAAAAATATTATACAAGTAATTTTCAAATATTCCTAATATCGATATTAAAAAAAAAAAACTAAGAAAAATAAATAGTAAATATTAATAACCTCAAATAATTAATATATAAATAAAAACTACGGTAGGCTAGTCACCTACCTAGTTAAAACCCTATGACGCTATGAAACTAGTGCATGAGAAATCATGCACTAGCCCTATGCTCCTTCTAGGAGTGAACAAAGGAAAAAAAAAAAAAAAAAAAAAAAAAAAAAATATACAATTTCTACTTCAAAGCTCTTCTACGACGAAACCTGTGTGTATGTCCTTTCTTTACCTATTCCGTTTTTTTTTTGGATTTTTTTTTTTCATTTGCCTTATACTCTTAATACTGTGTACTCCTCTTATTTACAAGCGACTGAGTAGAAACTTAAAAATTATTGAAGGAACATGAAAAAAAAAAACCAAAAAAAAAAATCACGAAATTAATTTAATCGCCCTTGACTTGTTTTCACTTTGAACTCTTATATTATATACTCTCTGATACAGCGCTTACATTCATATACATACATATATTTTGTGCCTCTATAATATTTTTCATCGCCATCAAGAATCTCTATATATATATATATATTATATTTATGTAGGAATCATCAATTCAACAGACCATTCTTAATATTGATAATATGGGGTTGATGGTTTGATTCTTATAGTAAATTTTTTTTTATTTTTATTTTTTTTTTTGTTATTTATACTCTTCTCTTAAGTACATCTCTTTATCTTTTGAGAATATAAAATTGTTTGATAAAAAAAAAAAATTTTCCTACTTTGAAAAAATTATAAGTTAAAAAAAAATTATTTGTACAAAAAAAAAATTTTTTTTTTGAAATTATCAAGGTGATTGCAAGGAATTTGTGTATTTGGCAAAATTGTTTTTTGACTTATTTGGAAGAAGATTTTATACTCAAATCAGCGTTTATTTCATTTAAGACCAAAATATAATTAGGGCTTACCATAATAAGCGACAATATAAAATTTTAATTTCAATTTAATTAAACCGAACCGGATTTTAATTCAGAACTAGCTGGGATCAAACTAGCTTTTTCGGATTCGCTAATATTCAACCCATTGTTAATTTTCATTTGTTTTCGAATTGTCTTGTACCATTTAAATATTAGAGTTTTGATTCTACTCTATATAAAACTTCTAGATCCATTATGGTGATAATGAAGTGCAATTTAGAATATCTATTGTACACTCTACGTGTAGATTCTTAGTATCTTGCCTAGAGTACTTAATATAGATTCGTGCATCAAATACTACTCAATCCGAACAACTTTTCTCGGCCAATATTCTGAAATTATACTTTCACCAGCAATGTGTATTCACTTAGGTTACCTTAAATAGTAACCTAAGAGATTGGATGTATAACAAGTAGAATGTATAACAAAAGAATGTGCAACACAAATATTAATTTTCTTTATTTATAATTTTGTAAATGGTATATAAGGGTGCGTTTATAAAATATACTCGTAATTCTTAACATTTTAATATGTTAGAATATGCGGCCATTTTAAATTTTCCATTTAAAAATTAAAACTTCGGAAAAGTATACGACGCATATTTTGTACTAAAAATGATACATAGCAATTCTCTATATTTAATAATGTAATATTTAAGAAAAGAACAGGGACAAATTTTTAATTTAAAGATTTAATTTCACTAATATTAATGCTATAACATCTTCCATAAAATTAATATTCACAGTATACATACAGTTCAGAAAACTTTATTTTTACTTAAAACTTAATATATGCAGAACAGTATAACAGAATATAACAAATTTAATTTTTATTTATATTTAAAATATTTTACAAAATCAAATTTCATCATTTCAAAATTTTCTAAATTTAAATTAAAATTAACACCTTCTTTCTTCAGTAAAATCAATTTTTCACAATATAAGAAAAATAAAATTTGTTCATGAATATTTTTTTGTGCACAAAAAATCAACTAAAAATTCTACACGTTTTTTCCGAGTTAAAAATTTTTTGTGCACAAAATATTTTTTGTGTGCGCAATACAAAACTTTCCTTTCGTACAATAAAATTATATTCAAACAAAATTAAGAACAAACACTAAAACAAAAACAAAAAGGGAAAAAATCTCTTAACATCTTTTCTAAATGAAATCAAAAAATTCTGAAAATATGTTAACAGCATCTTTCACTGAAATTTGTTTTAAAACCCTTCAACCCCTTGTTTTTTTTTTATTTTATTTTTTTTTTTAAACGAGCTCTTTAACACACTTGAAAAGCAAAACAACTGTTATATCCTTTGACATGTACGTATATATATAGAATAACAGCACAAGAAATATCCTTTACATTTTAACACTACCGTAATTCATTTGTTATCAGTAATTTAACATTACATTTTATTTGAGATTTAACAGATAATTTTTAACAGTATTCCTTTTATTACATTTTATTTTTTTTTTTTAACATTCACAATAATATAATTACAGACATTATTTTAATACAAAATAAAATTATGAAAAAAAAATTTTTAACAGTGGCAGATAAAATTTTTATGTCTACGTATTTGTTCTCTTCATACACACATACTTATGTAAGAATAAAATTTTATAGAAATTTATACAAAAACACAATTTTCATGTTATTACTGTAATGTTAATGTTATAATGTTATCCGATTGGTTAAAATTACTTAAAAAAATATTTTATTTTCCTTCATTTTTAAAGCCAATCCAATTTTATATGAAAATGCTTTCATCTTACTGGATTTTCTGATCCAATTGAGTGTAATTGAATTTGATTGGTTAAAAATTTGGGTGCGGTAGCGAATATTTTTAAACGAATCATTTTGTATAGATTAACAATATATTTTTATATATATTTGTATGGGGAAGAAAAAAAAAATAATAAGAAAATTTTTTTAAAAAATTTGATTCAGTTGTTGTCGAGTCTTTTAAGATAAAATACGCGTTGTCCAGGTGTATTTTCCACAGATCTATATTTTTTTTTTTAATTTGATTGTGCTTTTTGATCTATTTGTGTTTTTGTTAGTTCAGTTTTCTTGTTTGTGTTGTTTTTTTTTTATAAATAATAAAAAATAATAAAAAACAAAAAGTAGAAAGAGAATAATTTTTTTTTTAGGCTAGTAAAATTATTAAGTTACGTTTATTATTTTTGATATTACAAACAAACATATACTGTTATTATTAACTACTATATACCGTAAATACAATGTGCAAACACTGAATTCTATGGAACATATTATGATTAGATGTATTAACTGTTATATCAATAAAATATATTGGATTTTTTTAAATAAAATTTGTTTTATAAATTTTATTTTTGGAAACATTTCTTTGTTCTTTCACCGTTGTTTTTACAGTGTAAATTGACAAATACCCCCGGGTGTAGTAAACACTTAAATTTTAAAAAAAATTGACAACAATGGCACTTTGACATCCTCTCCCACTTACGATTATATTATGATATTGTTCATTACGCCTATCTATAAATATAAATATATATATACTTATGTGTGCAGATATTAGAAATAATTGTATAACAGTAAATTGTTACAGGAATTTTTTTTCTTTTTTTTTTATATAGTATACATATATAATTAACGGAATTCAGTGCAATAATTATTAAATAAATTAAATTATTAAAATTAAATAAAAAAAAATAATAAAAATATTTAATATTAACTACACATACATATAACTACATGCATAAATTATAACAGTAATAATAATAAAAATAAAATTTAATTATTATTTATAATTATTATTCAAAATATTTTAAAAAAAAAATATTATCTAAAACTAAACTGTATAATAAAAGAAAAAAAAAAAATATGGAAAATGCTACATTTACACAAAATCCAATGTCAAATGAGGCATTGGTTGTTCTATCGGAGGCAGCTTCTGGATTACATGAAGTTTTAAGAAATCAAAGGCCCATTCAACATAGGGTAAGAATCTATATATTTGTGTATATATATAAAAAATATACAAAATTTATTTTTATGAATTTAATTTTTAATAAATAAATAATTTATATATATATACATATAGAGTTATTTGGTGCAAATAGGGGCGAAACTTTTAAAAAATGATATTATATTCAGTATAACATTGTACATGTGTGTGTTATTTGAATAAATTTGTTTGAAAATGACAACATATTGTTTCATATTTTTAAATGATCTCTCATTAAGACCACCGTAACATATTGTTAGAAAATTAATTTGAAAATCATATTTGATATACATATAAACTATATATAAGAATAATGTATGTATAATATATATATAAATACATATAAGTTGGTATTGAAAGTATTTAGCTTTTCAATTAAATTTAAAAACAAATATATTATTTTAGTCTAAACCGCACAGTTTCTCAATTGGTTTTAGTATCGGCATCTCAAACTAGCTCAAAAATTACATGGTTCTCTCTTTATCTGCTGGTAGAGCATATTCTAAAATAAAATACATTATTATTAAAAATTTTTTAAATTAATTTAAAAAAAAAATATTTCTTTTGTTTCGTCGGTAATTTTCCAAACCAGAAAATAAAGAGCTTCAATTATTCTGTTCTCTAACTAAATTTCATTCTGTTATAAATTTCATTCAGTCTCTCAAAGAATTCTCGGCACTTAAGATATATAGGTTCCAGCAGTCTGTTTCGTAATGAACTGATGTACCTTGTGTCAAAAAGACATTCTTTTTAGTTTTGTTGCAGTTTCTCTAAAAAAGTCCAAGCTAATTTTCAACTTTATTGTGAAAAATGTTTTCAAAACGTCATTTTATTATTAAATTATACACTGTACTACTACAATCAGAACATAAAAAAATGTCAAACAAAGTGTTATAAACAAAAAAATCCAATCAGGTTAACTTAAAAACGTTCGCTACCAGTGTCGCATATATGCGACGCATCGGTCTTTGATTTTCAGAGCGGCGTCGCAAATGTGTGGCGTGACTATCTTATCAGTTTTTGCTACGGTGTTGCACTATTTTTGTGGCAAAAACACAGATTGAATAGGTTATAGGACAATGAAATAACTGCAAAGTGTTCTTATGGTCTGAAGATAATAACATTTTTTTATTCTAATGCGCTATAAATATAATATTTTAAAATCCAATGCTATTTATAGTCATTTCATAAGAAAAATTTCATTGTCTGTGGTACAAGCTTTTCTTCTCGCTCCGGTAGTGAACGTGTTAAGCGACCAATTGTGAACGAACCAGAAAAAAAAATATATGTAGATATACATCAAATAGTTTAACTTAAAAGCGACGAAACAGTGAATAAATGCACTTTTTAACAGTGACGTCAGTGATACAATAAAAAAATATTAAATTTAAAATGTACTCAATTGGGAAAATTTGATCGCACTATGGAATATTTTTTTTTGTTGACTATAAAATATGCTTTTACGAATTTGAAACATAGAATAAATTGAATATTGTAAGTAGGGTAGTGAAATAATTGATTAAAATTGTTAAAAACTTTGTTTTCATTGAATATTGCATATTTTCAGGCAAAATTTTGCATTTTATGATTACATATCGCAAATAAGATTAAGACTTTTTTGGTTTGTGAATTTTCCCGGTTTTAAGCAACATAATTCGTGATTTCTAAATATTAACGGTCTATATAATTGCAATTTTACAGGTAGAAGATAACATTATTCACATATCGCACACAGTCACACAAAAATGGGAACAAAATTAATGCTTTTACACAAAAAAACCGCAATCTTTTGTATTAGTTTTTTTTTGTCAAATTATTATATTACTTCACCATTTGGTATTAATTCTCTTTTATAAATTACTTACAATTTATTGGCAAGTTCACAAAATATAAACTAAAATTAAATTGTAAAAACAAATGCCTCGTTAGTAACAGGTAAGTTGTATGCAATTCTCTTAGAGTGCAATAATGACGATTCAAAGTGACTTTGCTGATTTCAATTATAGAAAAATTTCAAGAGAATGTAAGCCAATTTAAGCTTTTATTTTCCATTTTCCACAAAATGTTTCGGAAAAACTAAAAATATTTATGTATGCAGTTTTCATCTTGTTGTTTCCATATTCTGTGGTAAAATTTATTTCTATTTTACAAGAAAAATTATAAATGATATGTTCAAGATTCTCATGAGCAAAGTAAAATAATAGTGTATAGTTACACACTTTATAACACAAGTGAATAAAATTGAAAAAGTTTTATAATAACCGTAACAGATGGCTCTATACTGAATTGTTTTATGTTGTTTTTGAAATACGTGAACTCATATGCAAGTTATAAGATTGTTATAACAGTTATGGAACTTTTGAGATTATCAAAATTATATCGTCTATCCAGACATGATGAGTGCATCGCAATTTTTTTTCTTTAGTGACAACATTTTGTGATCTGTATTCTTAAAATATTTTTAAGATGATGTTAAAAATTTTAGTATTCAACTTGAAGATCATTTTATAGTCTCAATAATCTTATAAAATTACGTGGAATCTTAGAGAATAGAATTTTATAAAATTACGTAGGCAAAAATAATTTTATTTGAATTTTAATTCAGCAATAAACTTCAAAGATAATATCACACTTACTTAACGATAAAATAATGGTTAATTTAATTAAAAGAAGAAATAAAAAAAAAATAATTGTTTTTTTTTTTTCTCATTTAATGAAAAATTTTAATTTTCTTTTATGGTTTGTTAAAGGAATCAAGAAAAGAAATAAAACAAGAAAAAAAGGACATCATCTGGCCTTCTTATTATGGCAATGATATAAATTTAAATTTCTCCACTTTTCTTAGATTTTCTTTTTAATTTCCTTTTCATCTTGGAATTTTAATATTCAATTATTAATTTTTTTTTTTTTGTATTTTTTTGTTCTCTGGTTTTGTTTTCTCATTTTCATTCTCTATTTTGACTGATTCTTGTGGAAATTTTCGAAGGTCGGATTGTTAAAGGCAGCAAAATAAAAAAACCAAGGATAAAATAAAAAAAAAAAGATGAGAAGAAAAAAAAAATAACAATTTTTTTGCACGCACCCTTTCAAAAACAAATTTTGTGGTTTTTTAATAAATTTTCGCAACAATGGAAACGCAAAAAAAAATATAATGAAAAAGAAAAACAATTTTCCTTTTTGGGTGCGTTTTTGTTTTTGTTTTTTTTTATTAAAAATTATAGGCGTTAGGGTAGTAGATAAAATTTCACATCATTTATACACTTAACTGGTTATAAGTTGTACGTAACAAAATTTTTGTGCTGTTGATTGCTTTACACTGTGCATACAAACAGAGTATACATACGATTATTATAGTGTACAGAGTTAGGGATATGTGCATGCTTTATTTGGCAAAAGAAGAGTTTTTGCTTTTCACAGTGCGATGGTAATATCACGGCGATATGCTGGGCCTTATATATATATATATATATATATTATGTGCATATTATACTATATTAAATTTTACTTTAGTTAGATTTATGTTAAAAATTATGAAAGCAAATATAAAATAAATAGAATGAATGGGTGTATAAAAAAGTATGAAAATTGGTAAAATTATTTGTTTTCATTTCACATTTGTAATAATGTTATAAAAATATTTTCAATTTAGCTTATATTATTGTGACTCGGTTTTTTTTTTTGTTTTTTTTTTGTAATAATTTCTTAAACGAAAGGGTATATACAACAAAATGTTCAGAATTTAGATACAGGGAATTTAAGAAAAATTGTATACTCGATTTATGTGGTGAATTTATGTGGTTATTAAAAACTGTAAAAAGTAAAATTTACAAGGGCAAACATATTAAAAAAATCGGATGTGATCAGCACATAGCCGACTGCAATAGGTACTGAAAGTGTTACAGAAGTTTATGAAAATACCTTTTGAACATATTCCTTTCAATTTTGAGGAAGTTGGCAAGCTTTTAGTTAAAATACTTAGAAAAGTGTAAATTTGACTCATATACTAGAACTTCGCTTTATTCCACCTGAATTCCATTGAAAGTTGCCCATTTAGTTTCGGTAACAAACAGAACTTAAATACCAAATTTCAAGAAATTTCATCAGTTCGATCGGCAGATATGATAAAAATTGTAAAATTGACTGTACAGCAGAAAGGTCCAGTTCCTGTGTTCTGACATATCCCAAAAATTGATTAATCTGTGAAGTAGCCGAAATAAACTCAGATATAAAATATCATCAAAATCGGTTCGGCCAAACTTGAGATACACACACGCACACACAGACCGAAACATCGACAGACCAGTATCTGCCTAAAAATAGTTTATTTGCGTTTCCTTAATATGGATTAGTGCATTCCCTCCGAAAACTCGACAGTCGAAATTTGGTTCCATCACATAACCTCCCTTATTGTATGTGAATATTTATTGTTTATAATAATTTTTGGGCGGAAATTGATTAAAAGTAAAAAAACAAATTTGTTGTCTTTATACCCTAGCTTAGTTGGTAGATCAACCGCCTAGAAAGCCGTAGATGATTTAACTCCATTTCGGGGAGAAAAGTTTTTAATTTTTTTGTCTTGATTTGTTTCTTTGGCTACGTCATTCTCCTGTTCTACAGTTAATGGGCATTTCATTACGTTTTATTTTGTAAACGTTCGGGACGTTTACCAGGTGATAATATAATCTTTTTGGAGTTGCATGGTAGTCATCCGAACCCGTTGTCTCTATTCGTTCTATTACAATATTCCGTTCCAGGTAGAAAATAAACAATTTCTAAAAGTTTGATGCTACCAAACTACTTCTTCAAACAAGTATATAACACCTTTTATTATACACCAGCATAATATGACGGAAATCTCAGTTTCAATTTCTTATTTAAATTTACTATATTCCAACTGAATAAAAATAAGGAATAGCTGTAGAATAGTTTTATTGTAAAAATTAAATTTAAAATTTAAGAAATTCACAAAATAATTTGTAGCGCAAAAAATTCA